ATCTTTTCTATGATGGAGGAGAATAGGTATTGGGTTTCTTCTAGCGCTCTTTATGACTTTGCTTAGTTAGATTATGGGGTTGTTGATGTCTTGTTTAGTGACCTAGCTAATACTGTATTGGTTCTTGTTACTACTTATTGCTGCTTCCTTTTTTATGTATTATGAATGTTTATTTGATCTATCAATGTGCTACCATTTGTGATTATTTGTTCTTCTTCTATTTTGGTCTTCACCTTTTTTAATAGAATTTTATTAGTGCAGGTAATCATGGTGATGCAATTTTGGATGGGAAGCTGGTGCTAAATGCTTATTTTTGGTGATTTCCTTCTTTTTGGGTGATCTTTCTTGTGCACCAAAGATTGTAACTAGGCTTATATATAATTTTTCTTGGTAGAGACATCGAGCCCTTAGGATTGTTTTACCTAATTTTTGTAGCTCTTCTGAGCATTAGTGAGCTTGAAGGCCCTTTAAGGACTATGTAATTTTTTTCTTATATTAACACGTAGGCCCCTATGTTGATTTTCCATTTTAAAAAAAGCAATGTAACCATGACTCTGAGCATCTACTTGTTTTATGACTCTTGAATACATGGCATTCCTTTAGTAAATTTTTAATAGTGATATGCTGGGGATTTTGAGGATCAACCGGGGTTACATCTTGGTGGCTTGAATATGATATTCCCTTTTCCTGTGGGAATTATAAGATTACTGACTCTATAACCCGACAACTGTGAATCATAATTGGTATAGTTTCTTCTTCATTCATATTCATCACATCCTTGTCTAATTTTGCCAAATAATCTGCCTTGAGCTATTCTAACAATTTGCACTTATTTCAGAAGCTTGAGAGCTCATCGGTGGTAATGGGCTAGTTTAAGTTTGTAATTCTTATAAATTCCTAAAAATTGATTTATCATAAGCTGCAATATGCCGAAGATTTGAAGATTTTAGATTTTGACATTAATTTTAATTTATAGTCATATTATTAGAGCTTCATACTCAGCTTCATTATTTGTTTGAGACTCATTTAAATTGAACAAAAATCTTATTATGTCTCCCTTAGGTGATAAGAAAATGAGATCGAAGTGAGCTCGAGTTCTTGCGAGATTTAGAGGTCAAATAGGTTTAATCGATGACGCCCCATCAAAGTACATCTCCCAAAATGACAATTTTTATTCTCATCAATCTGCATGATTTGCTCATCAGGCAAATCATCATTATGTAGGGAATCTGTTGGAATATGATGTGTAGCGAGAAAATATGCTAAGGCTTGTCCTTTTATTACCTTTTTTGGCATGTATGATATATTAAACTACAATAATATTACTATCTACCTGGCTAGATGACTTATTAACTCTTATATTATCATAAAAACTTAAGCGTATAAATGTTTGATTTCAATGTAATTTTATGAGAGAGCATGTAATTGATGAGTTTCTGGACTGCAAAAATCAACACTAGATAATGCTTCTAAATTGGAGAATACTGCACTTCTGGTCCAATTGATCTTCGACTAATGTAGTAGAGTGCATTATATTTGCCTTCATCATTATGTTGGGCCAGTAATACTCCAAGGGACTCTTCTGATGCTGTTATCTACAGTATAAGAGGTTTAGCCAAAAATTGGCGATGCATGAATGGGCAGATTTAACAAGTATTTTTGATATTGTCGAATACTTCCTTGCACTCTTTGTCCCACTTGAGGAGAACATCTTTCTTCATCAATTTGGAGAATGGTTGGCACCTACATGATAGATTTGATATTAATCACCAAATGAAAGCCAGTTATTCTTATAACAAAGTTAATGGGGATTTCTGGGAGGTGGCATCTCCATGTTAACCTTAATTTTTTTATGGGTCAATTTTAATACCTCGGTGTCGAATGACATACCCCAAGAATCTTTCAGAAAAGACACCAAATGCGCATTTAAAAGGGTTCATCTTAAGACTAGACTTTGTGATCCTCTCAAATATGATTCTTAGGTCATTTAAGTGATCATTATGATTTATAATCTTAACGACCATGTCGTCTACATAACACTCAACCTTCTAATGTTTCATCACATAAAAAATATGATTCATCTCTCGCTGATATATGAAAATAGTGTTCTTCAGGCTAAAGGCCATGATCGTGTAGCAGAATATGCCGATAGGTGTTTTGAATTATATATGTATCTAATCTTCAGGCACCATTTTGATTTTATTGTACCCCGATGATTCATCTATAAATGAGAATATATTATAGTTGTATGAATTATTAACTAGGAGTACTGATATAGCGAACAACAAATCATCTTTTTGACACGCCTTATTGATGTCCCTATAATCAATACAGATATAGAGCATACCATTCTTCTTCTTGACAGTGACAATATTGTAGATCCAATCGACATATTTTTCCTCTTGTATGAAGCCTGCTTCTGTAAGCTTTCTTTTCTCTGCAATCACCTATTCTTAAATCTCCAACTTTATTCTCATTGGAACTTATTTGATGGGTATCGCATCTGGTTTGATGGTCAATCAGTGATCTGCTATATCGGGGGATAAGCCAGGCATCTCAATTTATGTTCAGGGAAAGTAGTCCCTGAATTCAAAGAAGAGTTATGTTATTTATTCCACTTGGTCTTCCGATAGAAGGGTGCTAATTAAGGTTGGGTGAGGGTCCTCCTAAGTTCCTAAGTTGACTTCTTTTAGCTTATCTTTATTAGTTGTCTGTTCACCATCTTCTAATTTTTTTTAGTTCGGGCTTGGCTTCTATAGGTTGATCATCATAATCTTCAACTTCATATATTTTCTCATTGCCATTATTGTCGGATTAAACTCCCATACATGTGATTGTTCGGTAAATCTCCTTTTTGGGGGTATTTTAGTATGATGAATCTGAGAACCCTTTTTGATAAATATCCTTCTTCCATAATAAGTGAGTGTGGGAAATTTTTTTTGAAGATGCTCTTTATTCCCATGTGATTTACTTTATATATATTTTAATATTTTCTTTCAATCAAATCCATATAGTCGGACATTATACCGCCCTGAGGGGCAGACTAATGTCTTTCTATTGATCTAAAAGAAAGAAGGCTATAATTCATTCTTCTAATCAGGTGCAACATAGGGAATATACAAATCATCCCGAACGATAACAAGCATATTAACCTATTGACCTGATTAGACTAATGAATTATGAATTTATTTTCGTAATCAAATATAGAAGATATTTGACCTGCCTGTGAAAGCAGATAAATTATCTATCTATCCTTTGATTATGGAGATTAAGTTTAAAATATAGGTAAAGCATAATCTATGTTCAAAGTTCTTTCCCCTACCTTACAAATGAAACTAAGGTTGGGTTTAGATTATTCTGGGACCTAGACTTCCTATAGGGGCAAGCCCCTATAATTAATTACATCCCCTAAGAGAATACTCTGGATTTAAATGAAGGCTAATCAATTTCAAAATTATATACAAATTTAATTAAATACTTGGGCTAATTTAAATTTTCATTATCAGGCTTTTGATTATTATAGACTTAAAATTGAATTTGAATGATTTTGATTTTTTTATTTAGAAGAAAGAATGTGTAGAGAGAGGGTGTATACATTATGGACTTACCACTTACCTAGAGTGGGATACCAGCTAATAATCCTAATCATAAAAATTGTTGATGAATGTAAGATTTAAGAAGGCTCTATCCTAAGAATCAAAGAATGGTTAAAGAATTTAAATCAAATACAATAAGAGGTGTTTATAAAAACTGAAAATCTACTCGTATGCTAATGATGCATGAATAGTTGTATATATGAAAGAGATGATTGTTGAGTCTAGTAATTAGGTTATTAAGCCTAAGTGAGTGTCCCAAGGCTACGAAGAGGGGGGGGGGTGATTGGTAG